AGTAGGTTTAGATTAGACATCCGCAAGAACTACTTCACAGTTAGGGTGGCTAGGAGCTGGAACCAACTTCCAAGGGAAGTGGTGCTGGCTTCTACCTGGGGGGTCTTTAAGAAGAGGCTTGATGCCTACCTGGCTGGACTCATTTGAGTCCGGTTTTTCTCCCGCCCAGGCAGGGGTCGGACTTGAAGATCTACAAGGTCCCTTCCCACCCTACTTCTATGATTCTCTGATTCTCTGATTCTGGAGGAGTCCCATGCCAACAAGGACTATTTGGGACGTGAATAAGCAATGAGCAGCACAGCACAGCCAAGCAGCAGGTATTCACACAGCCCTATGGAACTGACTGCCGCAAGATGCTGTGGAGGCCAAAACTAGCCAAATTCAAAAGAGGATTAGACAAATTGATGCAGAACAGGTCCACTGGAGGGAATGAAGAATGACAGCAGGGCTGCAGCCTCCAAATTAGGACTTCCTAGGCCTTACATGCTGGAAACAGGGGGACAGAAGCAGAGGACAGATTAGTCTGGACAGGCCTTACACAAACACACTTCCCCTTAGCGTCCACTCTGAGCCATGAGATACCGAATACTAGATGGACCTGTGGTCTGACCCATCATGGCACCTCTTATGTTTTTATAGGCTCACCCTAGGCCAGCTGAGATTGCTTCTCTCAGCAACAAGCTCTCCAGCCATTCCTCCCTGGGGATTGCCCCCACCATCTCTCAATGGGCAAGCCTCAGCTGTCTCATCCCTGGGTGCTTTAGGCCAAGGTGCTTCATACTGGGCCAATTAGGAAGGCCCTTGGCTCTGGGGATCTATGTGTTCTTTCACTAGGTTTGACTGGGCACTAGGGGCATTTGTACACATGGTTGCACCACAGAGCTGGGGGCTTTTAAAAGCTCCTGGCACTGCGGCGTGTGCATTTTTATAAATAGCAAAATGCATGTCAGCGCTGAGAAAATGGTGGTGGCACACTTCTGAACTAAAATACGTCAAAGATGTTTTAGTTCCAAAGTGCGCCACTGCCATTTTCTCAGTGCTGATTAGTATTTCACCCTTTATACAAATGTATGCTACGCAGCGCCAGGTGCGTCAGCTCACATACAGAACAGACTCAATTAAATGAGTCTGCTCCAACGTGCTGGATCTCCAGTGTGTTGGAGCATTCAAATGTATTTGTATAAATGCCCAAGGCTCTTGGGAGCAGGGAGGTGGGCAGCTCTCCCATAGTGGAGCTGAAACACTGGGGATTATCTACAGCTGGAGCTCACAGCTCATGTCTAGTTTAGGGTGCCAGTCTCTCTCAAGGCAGCCCTGGCTGTGTGCTCAGAGGTGAACCCCTAGCAGCACCATGCAGCAGCCTTGGGGATCAGCTCAGGGGTGGCAGGACCATGCTGTATTGCAGAGGGACAAGAGGGCTTGCCCATCTCTTGTCTCCTTCCCAGCCTAGCATCTTATATGGAGGGGGTCAGGACTGAGGGAAGGAAGTCAAGGAGCTCACCAGAGTCTGAATCATCGCATAGCGGCTCATCCGCATGGAATAAATGGTGCCAAATACATCCACCACCTTCTCCTGCTTCATCTGCTGCAGCAACCGGTCCAAGGCGATGAAGGTGCCAGAACGGCCCACTCCTGCACTACAAGAGCACAGGCAGCAAGGGGTTAATCCTGGCAGCTCCCCTAATGTGGACTCCTCCTCCTGTCACCAACTATCCAGAGTCCCAAAGACTCTGCTCCCCATTGCAGGTGGCAGGGATCCCTGCAGACCAGAGGGCAAGGTTTGGAGATGTATGGACACTGCAAGGAGATGGCCTTGATCTCCAATGGCCAAATCTCCAGTGGAGTCTCCTGCCCCAGAAGAGCCCTGAGGGATGTGGGGTTGAGGGGCAGTTCTCGGAGTTGTCCCAGAAGGGTACAAAAGTACTTCTGTGTTCTCCAGCCTTGGGGGGATAGTGCTCATAGGCACACTGCTTGTATTCACCAGCCCCACCTCAGAGCCATCTTCTGCTCCAGGCCTGACCCCAGGCTTCTGCCTGTGAGGTTAGTTCCTACACCATTCTCACATACAAGGAGGAGCCCAGTCCCCTTTTTCTCTTAGTGTAGGCAACCTTCCCTCCCCCCCGTTTATCACCAACTCCATCCCAACAAGCCGATGCAGTCTGGGCCTTACCTGCAGTGTACCAGTGTTGGGCCAGAATCCTTTGCAGTCTGGATGTGTTCTCGCACCAGCTCCCTGAAGGCAATAATGGAAGTTGTGGACTCAGGAATGCCATGGTCAGGCCAAGCTGTGTAGTGTAGATGGGTCACACATCTCTCCACCTTTAGGCCCTCCTGTCACAGACAATGGCTTTTCGTTAGCGTGCAGGTAGCAAAGAGCTGGCAGCACAGGCCGGGCCAGGCCTGCAGGGATTAGGCACATGGGAAATGGATGTCTGGAGTTTCTGAAGCCCATGGATATCCAGTGAAGCTCCCACTGAATTCCTTCTGGGGCAGAAACTGGTTTCCAGCATTTAGAAAGACCCATGCCACCATCCTGCTTGGTTAGCCCTTATCTAGGAGACCTCCCAGGAGGCTGTTGATCTTTAAACTGGACCACACCTGTGGATCCCAGTAGGTGGAGGGAGGGAGCCAGCTTGTCTTTGCCTGCACTTCGGTGCGTGTCATCTTTGCTGCGGTTTAGAAGCAAACCACCCTGGGAGCAGAGGGAAAGTGATGGCAGGGGAAGTGAAGCAATAAACGGCGGGAGAAGTGGACTGGTGGTGATGAATGAAAGGGGATCAAAAGCCACGTTCCCTGCTAGCACCATTATTATTGACAATCCTCCAGGGGAGTGTAAGTCAAGACAATTCTTTCCAGTGGTGGACTAAACTTGTCTTGAATCCAGCTGCCCACAGGTGCAGGGATACCCTGCCAACCCTGGGACGTGCCCACATCCAAAGCACACCCGCAAGCAAACAGCCAAGCAACATCAGTCTGCCAGGCTCACCCCACCACAGCACTCCAATCTCATCACCCACAACAGGACTGGGCTCTTCTCAGGTATCTACTCACATGCCAGAGTTTGAACTCACGCGTGGTCCACTCATCAGAGCTGCTCTGGGTCAGCAGGTGGACGCGGATCTGCCTGTAGGAGACGGGAGCAGATTCCGAGGGCCAGTAGTGATCACACAGCACCTAGAGGGCAGCAGCATGGGGTCATAGGGACACCAGCACCAGCAGGGAAATCACCACACATTTGTTGGGGAGAGGAGCCAAGCTAAGGCCCCAGAACTGAGCACGCCAACTCCGATCTGGGTCCTGGGTCACATCTCATCTTGTGGGGGAGCAGAATCCCAGAGCACATAGGGGAAACACAGACCAGTGGTTGTGAACCAGTAGTCACATTACATAGGGCCCTACTGTGTGCCTTTGGCCCATTGCCATCTCCTTGCCCCAGAGCTTTCTCTTCTGTAAAAAAAAATCTTGTGCAGTTCCCCCTCCCAGAAGGGCAGGAGTGTTTGGCAGGCCCTGTGCACCTTGTGGTTGGAGATGGGTTATCACTGCCAGCTGGCAATTAGGACAATGGCACTTAAGAAAAACTGGGGTGGTGGATACTGCCTGGACAGTTCCCTGCTGCTATTTCAGTCCTGAGCCCAGCCCTACCAGTGTCCTACAGGGCACACACTAGAGCTCTGCACAGCTGCTTGGACATGACTAGGAGTTGGATGGTGGTTCTGTGAAGGTGACTCTGAGCATTTGGGATGCAAGACCTGCAGGACGTGCCAGACCTACCCGCCCATTCTCCATGCCCACTGTCAGCATGACAATATTACAGACATTCTGCTCCCAGACCATCCTCCAGAAGTCCTCGATGGTTTTCTTCAGAGGTCCCTGGGTGGCAATAAACTCCTTTTGGGAGGTGTAGCCCTGTGACAAAGACCAGAACAGAGGAGTTATCACTTCCCAGAGGTAGCTAGGTCCCAAAACCAGAACTTACTTGGTGACCCAAGTCCTTCCTGGGAAGGGGAGATGTCCGCTAATCTCAGCACTCTTGGCAGCTTGGACATGCTCCCTGGGCAGAAGAGTCCAATGGACAGCTATTACATGATGCACTGAAAGAGGGGGTTCCCCCACATGCCAAGTACATCTTCTGGCACAAAAGAGAGACTTGTCTTTGGGAACTTTTCACTCCTACAGTTGGCCTTTAGGAAGGTCAAGACTAAAGGGCTCTTCTACCTTCCTCTGAAGCATCTGGGGCTGATGGTAGAGTTGTACTGAGTGATGAAGATGGGCAATGGGGCTGCATGGCTTTTGGTCTGATCCCATGTGCAAGTCGTATGTGTCAATATTCACTGCCTTGAATATGCAGACACAATGCAAGTACACACATGTACACACACGTGCACATGTATGCATGCATGCATGCATGCAAGTTGCCCATTGGCAGTTACCTGGGTAAATCCCCTGGGTGGGGGATGTGGGAATGGGTTGCAGATCATTGAAGTGCAGCGGCACAGATTAGAAGGAGATAGAGCAGACAGATTAGGCAGGAAATCTAGAGAGGCTGAGAGAGATCATCCTCAAAAGAGAAAACAGAGCAGCAGTTGTCAGATCTTCCTTTCCCAGCAGCACGCGCACACACACACACACACACACACACACACACTCTTGACTTTTTAGTACCCACCCTGCAGCTCCACCACAACACTGAGGCCAACACACTCCCAGCTACTCTAGCATCCCTCCCCCCTTCCAATTCCAACCTACCCTGGCTTCCATGGCCTGCCAGTCACATCTAGCTGAGACCTCTGTGACCCATGGCTGGTTATTGGCTCTCTGTCCATGCCAACTACCCCCTTGTGAAAGAGGCTGCCCAGCAGAGGCTGCAGTGGGAAGGCAACAGAAGCAAGGGGGCACTCACAGGGACAAAGTTGGCATTGATGTAGTCAGAGTGGGGTTCCCCATCCAGCTGGCTCAGCCTGACTCTTGAGTGGTCATCTGCAAGAAACCAAACAGCCATTACCCTCCTCCAGCACATCCCTGAGTCTCTGAGACAGACCACTATCCATCAGGGGAGGCAAGACGAATGCAGTATATGCTCTTCCTAGGGCACGATTTGCCTGTGGCAATCATTCAGTAGGTCAGGCTGTGCCTTTCTACCAGGCAGGGTATACCAGACTTGCTGGTTAGGACTGAGGCCTCCCTACCACGTGCATTGCCCCGTCCTTCCAAGCACATCAACATTTTGAAGAAGAAATCCCAACATCACAGCAGAACTGGTTCAGGCCAGGGTCCTATATGGCTCTGCCCCTTTCCTTCCTGTCACGGTGTCCGTGGCACTCTCACCCACCCACTTGGATCGTTGCTGTGAGGCCAGTGCTAATCCGTGAGCTGTTGGGGATGGGATACTGAGAAGGGGCTGTCATACCTTTCAAGAGGCAGGTGACTCATAGCAAGCCCCAAGGAGGGATGCCCAGTGTCTGTAATTCCCATCCAGGGCCCTCGCACTTCACACTACAGCCATTCCTGACAGTATTATCTTAGTAGTTGTGTGTTGGCTGCCCTGTGAATAGCATGGAGATAGCCCTCACCTGCCTCCCATGGGCATGGAGCTTGGCTAGGGTGTGCCTGAGACTCGAGAGAGCCTGAGAGAGCTAGGTCTGTCTGTACTACCCCCTTAGGAGGGCACAAGCTAAGCAGGATCCAAGCCCAGAGCAGGGCTCACCTAGTGGCTGGGGACCAGACAGGTAAATGTAGTGGGAAGAGGTGGCTGTACCTAAGCTCTGCTCTGCAGCCTTGTGAAGAAGGTGTATGTCCCATGGCTGGCAGGCTAGATGGAATGGGGGTGCTAAGTGTGAGATCCCCAGGGAGAGGCCCAAGAGAGGAACTGGGTACTGTGCACCCTCCTACATGTGAGACCTCCCAACACTCACCTGCTAGAGGCAGGGGCATGGGGAGGGAGAATGCCAAGGCTGGGAGATGATGGGGCTGGGGTTCTGCACTTACATGGCAGCACATGTGGGTGTCTGTTCTTGGAGGCATTGGCAGGAAGTTCTGCCTCCACCTTAGGCTGCTCCTTCCCAACCTCCTTCAGCTCCTGTAGGACACAAGGGGAAACAGTTGTCAACTGGAGTGATGCCTCTCTGGGAGAAGGGGATGGTGGGGGCCCTCCAGCAAGCTCCCCTGTAAGCACAGCTTGCTAACGGTGCAAAGGGAACTCAATGGAACAGAGAAGACTGGACTCCTGGGGCTGGATCTGATCTCCAGGAAGCAAGTGATTACATGCACAAGTGTGACGAGTGACTTGCAAGGGAGATTGGGGGCCAGGGGTGGAGCAGGAAAAGAAAATGCCAGGAGGGCAGGGGATAGATAGACACCACTAGTTTCATGCTGCTGCATCCCCAGCCCTGCCTGCTAGTCTTTTTCCTGCCATACCCTCTCCTCATAGCTTCTAATGTGCGATTGTGCCTAGTGGAGCAGAACTGCTCTGCTAGTTCAGACCAGCCCCCAGGTGTCCCATTCCCAGGTGATCAGCACTTTTTAAGAGCATTTTCCAGCAACACTTTTTGTTTTTCAAAAAAAAAAAAAATCATTTAATAGATTTCATAGACATTAGAGGCTGGAAGGGACCTTGAGAAACCATTGGGTCCAGCCCATCCACCATAGGCGGGAAGTCAGCTGGAATCAAGTGATTCCAGCAAGAAATACATCAGCCTGTTTTCTGAAGGAATCCAGAGTAGGTGCTTGCACCACCTCTGGGGGGAGTTTGTTCCAGACCCTGGACACACGCACCGTAAAGAACTTTTTTCTTATATCCAGTCTAAATTGGCCTTCCTGGAGTTTATGGCCTTCCTGGAGTTCAAGTACCTTTGAGAGAAAAATCCTGAATTTTTCAGCCTTTTGAAAAGGGTCTGGGTTGGAATGAATGTCAAATCCCAGCTTCTTTCTGTTTTATTATCCCTTCCCCCAACACACACACATTTTCCCTAGTTGAAAAAGCCGAAACAACATTTTAAAAGTGGAGGAAACATGGGAAAATCCCTTTTTACTTTTGTCCTGTTTTGCCATCAAATGCTAGAGAATGAATGAGGGTTGTTGGTTGTAGCTGTGTTGGTCTAAGGATACAGGCAGGCAAGGTTCTTTGGGTGGATGTGATGCCTTTTATTAGACTTAGGCAGCTTCCAAGGCCTGGTGGTGAAACAATTATAATGAGCTCATTCGTGCTGAAAACTCTTGAAGCCTGAACTTCCAGCCCTGCCAGTTAGCCCCGGTATAATACTATAAACTTCACTGAGGCTAGTCTTGAACCCCTGTTCAAGGGGCTCATCAGTACAGCAACACCTGAAGCTCACTCACCCCTAGTTTTCATCGTAAGGTGTAGGGCTAGAGATCCTCTGTTCATTATCAGAGCAGGCATGCACAGACAGTGCCAGAACTAGCTCCCTGTGCTCTTCCTAAGGTGTGCTTCAACCTGACCTGGAGACACCACTTTCAGGAACAAGAGAGAAGTCCATTTGGTTGGCATGACCTGTTCAGCCTTTGACCTCTGTCCAGATGGTGTAGACAGGTGTCGACTAGGTTGCCAATCCACTATGAATTGGACTGGGAACCTACAATTCATTTCCACAGGCTATGCAAAAAGCCACACAGCTAATAGTTGGTCATGACAGACCTGGGTGGGCTGCATTTGGATTTGAACCAGGCATCTAGAGGAGAGGTGAAATCTCATCCCTAGACTCTTCCCTCTTAAGGAACGCTCACCTCAAACTCCTGGAAGAAAGCATTGTTGGCATTTGCTGTCTTCATCTCGTAATACTGTTTGAAGCTCTGTATGGGAACTGGCCGATGCACGTTTCTGCAGGAAGTAAGACTCATAGGAAAACATGCTATTGCTGATAAGAGATATGCAGTGTCAGCTCCCTTCCCTTAGGGACAGGCTGCCCTGTCAGGCTCATTATCAGGGGGCCAAGGAGAGCCCCCAGCATTGCGGCATGCAGTACTTTGATCTCCTGTGCCATTTTGTTCTGGGATGGTTACAAACTCACATAATCCCCTGCAGAGAGGGCCCCACAGAGGGTGGCTGTACACTTCTTCACCTCCTGTCATAATGGTCTCCTGGCTGAAGCCTGGACCCCTAGCTTGCAGACCCGAAAGTAGGAGGGCTGCAATCTGCCTAGCAGGAACAACTAATGGGGCTTCTCCTTTAGCCCAAGCTGATCTCTCTGTGCTGGAGACTAGCTTCACTCCATTGGAGCATATTGAGATATATCTGCTGGAGGCATCTCAAGGTGATGAACACTACAAGGAGGCCTGACATCCTACTGCAGCAATCTACATAGAGCAGTGACTCGGAACCGATTTAGACAACAAAAGCTTAAGCAGGTGAGCAGCAGGGAAGCTGCAGGCACTTTAAAAATTTACTTAAAGGATGTGGTTGGCTGAAGCTTGGACTCTGCAGCCTGTAGGCCTAGCACAGTGCAGTTGTGGAAGTGTGGGGCTGAACCGAGTGATCCAGGACCTGGGACCTGGGGAACTAAAGAGATAATAAAGCATGCCCCCTCTCTGACAGATAGTATGTGTGTGTGAGAGTAGCACCATTTACCTCAAGCTGTAAGTTGTCATTTCTTGGGGTAAGTTACTCTTCTTGTTTCTGAAAAGAAAACATGGCTAACGTCACTTTTTCCTCCAGCAATGCAAGCTGAGCCCAGGCATATCGGGCACCTATACATGTGCAGAGAGGCTGCTCTGATGCATAGAATCATAGAAGTAGGGTCGGAAGGGACCTTGTAGATCTTCAAGTCCGACCCCCCGCCTGAGCGGGAGAAAAGATTGGACTCAAATGAGTCCAGCCAGGTAGTCTTCAAGCCTCTTCTTAAAGATCCCCAGGGTAGGAGCCAGCACCACTTCCTTTGGAAGTTGGTTCCAGATCCTAGCCGCCCTAACTGTGAAGCAGTTCTTGCAGATGTCTAATCTAAACCTACTGTCCAATAATTTGTGTCCATTGTTCCTTGTCATGCCAGGAGGCGCTGGGGGAAACAGTGTCTCCCTCAAACCCTTCTGGTCCCCTCAGTGAGTTTATAGACAGTCATCAGGTCCCCCCTCAGCCTTCTCTTGTGAAGGCTGAACAGGTTTAGGTCCCGCAGTCTTTCATTGTAGGGTCTGCCCTGTTGTCCCCGGATCATGCGGGTGGCCCTCCTCTGGACCCTTTCAATGTTGTCCACATCCCTCCTGTAATGGGGCGCACAGAATGGGGCGCATTGTAATTATAACGTGTCAAAACAGACTTGATTAATCGAGCCTGCTGCAGCGCGGTAATTACTGCGCTCTAGCAGACCCTAGCATCACATATATCAGCATCCCCATGCTGAAAAATGGCAGTGGGGGGCGCTTTAACTAAAGCTCATTTGACGAGCTTTACTTAAAGTGCTCCCACCCCATTTTTCAGTGTGGGGACGCTGATACACATGATGCTCTGGGTGCTTTAATTAGAGAAACTCTTGGAGCCACTCTAATTAAAGCACCCTCCCCCCCACCTCACCTCCCAGAACACATCTATAAATGCCCATTGTGTTTTGTTCCCTCTTCCAGCTCAGGGGTATCTTGTGAGCAGAGTGTAGCTCCCACACACTTAAAAAGATTTCTCCGTGAATTTGTAAACGTCTATGGATTAAGCAGAGCTGGAGCTGCCTATTCTGTACCCAGCCTATCCCTCCCAGTGAGCATCTCCACTAGCTCCATAGCACCCCATTGTATAGACTCCTTTCACAGGTTAGCAGCAGGTCTTCCCCCCATTGCATGGGCTTGGTTTTCAAGAAGGCTACTGTACCAAGTTGCCCTCCCATTCTCATTCCCTTACCTTTTGGCTCGTGCTCGCTTCCAGTAGATCAATCCAAAGATTGCTATGAGTGTCAGGAGAAAACCTACGATGACTCCAGCCACGATTGGGATTGGAAAAGGAGGTGGATCTGCACCAGCAGCTGAAGACCAAGACCAGAGAGTCCTCTGTTACCCTGTGGCACTGCATTCCTGGAGTCCCTGTGTGCCTCACACCTGACCTTGGCTTCTAACTTCATGCAGGGAGCCTTCCCCGCAAGACTTGCCCACCCCAGGTTCCTGCCCAGGATCACCAGAAACTGGGATCACCAAACATCAGCTAAAATCAAGAG